TGCTCTGCTTTGAAGCACATCCCCGTCGTCATTGTGTCGTCGGAGGATATTCCTGCCCGGATTAACACCTGCTTGTCGGAAGGCGCCGAGGAGTACTGCCTGAAACCCGTCCGGCTGTCGGACGTCAGACCGCATCTGCAGAACGCCTGTAAAGGAAGAGCGGCTACCGGATTGGCTTCTAGGTCTTGTGGGATCTTTTGAATCATTCCAATCAGGGATTCTTGCCGGTGTTGTTGTGATTTAGAACAATTTTGCTGTGTCCATTTCGGATTTGTGAAGATATTTTAAATCTTAGACACTGTTATGTATTTAATTTTTTATACTAGTAGCTTTTAGATGATTTGATTAAGATATTTGTAGTGAATTCGTGATTCAATTAGAAACTTTGTGTTAGTATAATGTAAGTGAAGCGCTTTGGTTGCTACAAATGCAAGTTTAAGACACAAAGGATCGATTATACTCCGTATTTTAGTTCGGTAAATGTTTGATTTCCCCATTGTCCCCCGGAAGTTATACTTGAATCCACCACCGTCACTTTTGCATTTCGCATTATGTGAATTATTTTTTGACTCAACTTTCTCTTTCTTACAATTTTTGAGGTAAAAATTGTAAAACTACCATTTTAACCTTTATTTTCTTAAAACTCACACAAAGCTCACATGCATCTTAGAGCCCGTTTGGAGAACTCTGTTTTCGGCTTATCAGGCTTATCAGCCAGCTTTTTCACCAAACACGTAACTTTTACTTTCGCGCGCTGAATTGTGTAATAAGCCGAAAAAGTAAGGTTGGAGTTACTTTTCTGGCTGTATTGGCTGAAGTTACTGTAGAGGACCATTTTAGCTATTTTTACATATAATTTTTTCTTTAATTTATTAATAAAATATATTTTTAAAATATTTTTTTCTTAAATCAGCAGAATCAGCCAAAACAGCCACTCCAGCCAGAATATCATAAATTTCAGCAGAATCAGCCAAAACAGCCGATTTTGGTGCTACCAAACGGGCTCTTAGGCTCTCTTTGCAAACTCTATTCAAAAATCAAAAGTACTTCTCAACTTTATATTAGAATGAGCTAAGATGGATGTTTGCAAAGTAAAATTCTGTTCAACTTAAGCATTTTTAAGAGGTTTAATGCACAAACCCCTCGTGAAACATATATTCGGCGCATTAGCTTCCGTGATTTAAAAAATACGTCAAACCCCCTGTGTCATAATTAATCATGTTAAAAAACCCCTCCAAGCATTTTTAAGTCAAAAGTTGGAAGCAACTTCTAGGTTATTTGGTAAATATTTCAAACATTGACTCATTGAGGATAAAGTTAATATCCTAAACTACCCTCCTGACATATTAATGGCTCGATCCATTTTTCTTCTCCATCTTTCTATTTCGGGATAAAGCTCAAAAAGGACACTAAGGTTATTTACGAATCTCAAATTGGACACTTAACTTTTAAGTGGATCAAATTAACACATGATTTACTTATTTAGATAACTTTTGGCCATCCACTCACATCTCAATTAAACGCCGTCTGTTCGTCCGTCTGCTGAGAGGGTTTCACCCATTTTTCTCAACGAAGGAAAATCACCAACATAGTTTCCAGGCTTGAAGGAGAAGGTTTCGACCTTCCTTCAATGGTCGCTCACCGGTTGCTCCTGTTCCCTTCAATTCCTCGTTAGTCTTGCACTATTGCTGATGTCATCATATGTTAGCTATTTCAGAATTCCTTCAGCATTTGCTCTCTGTATATCCAATCCATCCATATAAATTTCAATATGTCACCCAATTTGAACAATACCACTACAAGTATAAAACAATAAACTTTTTTTATGCATTATTAGTCACTTAATCATAGAACACTTAACACAATACAAAATTGAAACTAATCTATTAGTTATTCAAACATAGAAACTTATAAACCCGTGGTTCTTTCTCAGACATAAAAATCTCAATGGTTTATTCTACTTGTACAACAACAACAACTCAGGGGAAAACTTTTCCAGGTCTGCCAAAGACGACAAAGATAATTGACCAAAACTTCAATACTCAGTTATCCACTGCACCAGATCCACCGGCTGAAAAAAGAGGTGTTTTCGACCTATGCTTTAAGTTCAAAGAGCAGATTCACCTCCTACTTTAACTATGTTGATGGCCAATAACGCCGGTGTCGATGTTAAGGGTTTGTGAATTACCTGCCGAATGAATGGAGATATGAATATATTCCGCAGTCAGTAGCTATGAAAGCAACCATTGTATTTCTATTTATTTGATTTGTAGCTACAAATTGAAAGGGATACAATATTAGTAGCTTTAGGATGTCAATTAAAAGACGGACAGTTAAAAGAAATGTTACTGAGTGGCCAAATGTAGCTCTAATAAGTTATTTATGTGTTAACTTGGTCCGCTTAAAAGCTTAATGTCCAATTTGAGATTTATAAATAAACTTAGTGTTCTTTTTTAGCTTTATCCCTTTCCATTTCTATCGGATATCTCCATCCAGATAGTTGTGTTGCTAAAGGGTTGGAGATTTCACCAAGCATTTTCTAACGAGGAGACATACAAGAATTGAAGAATAAATCAAGCGTAAAAAAATCGGCAATTCAAGGACCACAGAACGAGCTCTTCCACGGCTGGCTCCCCGGCGCAACAGTAGACTCCCCTCCTCCTATAATCCCCGGCAAGAAAAATCCGGTCAAGAAGGTGAGAACCTTTCATCCGCTCAACACCGGCGTTATCTCTTCCTATTTCACGGCGGCCGCTACACTCTTCCAGCCAGGGTTGTGACGGCATCAGCACAATGAAATTGGGGGGTCGAAGCGCCATCTGCCGCACAAAACCCTCTTCTCTGAAACGAGTCTTTCCCTTGTTGGGTCTGCAATGAAGTCCTATCCTTCATTTTTGGATTCACTATTAAATTGGATAAGCTTATTTTTGTATCTTCACCATATATGGAGTATTACATATTTACATCAAAAATCACTTTTTTTATCAAACATTCAACTTCTACATTTTAATTAAAGTCACTGCTATCTCTAAACACCACCTACTTTTACTACTAATCACTTTTTCAATAATCTATTAAAGAATCACATTTGAAAAGCACAAGTATTTACAAACAGACTCTTAGTATCTATATAAGGGCCGTCTGTTTTTGGCGGTTGGCAGCTAAAACACTAGAATACACAGGGTTTTCTTTGTAAAATAATGGCGTTTTCGCTGACCCGCTGGTTTCCAAACGGAGCCATTATTATGCATCTTATGATGTTTTCTTTTGGACTGTTTTCAGTTCTAGACCAGACCAGACTTAAACAGACCAGACCAGAATTTCTTAGTTATAAAAAACACAGAGACCAGATGTTTACCAGACCAGACCAGACCAGACTTAAACATGTTGGGAAAAGGTGTGAAAAATTGCATTAAAGGGTAACTTTGGGGCAATTTTTTGAGTGGGTTCCACTTCCGATTTGGGTCGGGTCAAAGTGGTTTCGGATTGTCCTTGTTAAGGGTTACAATTCGATATATGGTACGCTCAAAACGGATAACGGGTGAATGGAAATTGATTCTCGAAGTTTACCCGTTAGAATGGAAAAACTAGGAACAATGATGAGTTTCTAGTGTGTTATTTCCCACATCGGAAAACCCAAGGGATTTGCAACCCTTTATAAAGGGACTTCCCCCTTAAGGATGTAAGATTCCTAAGGGTAAAGGCTCTCTCCACGCGCGCGGGGGGGTGCAAATCAAATCTCGAAATCGGAGAAGAAAAACCGCGACTTGCGTGCTCGGGCGACTTGCGGACACGAAACGTTTATTTTTTCCTAGAAGTGCCTAGCGGCAGAATTGCTCCGGACAGAAGGCCTCGACCAGAACACCTCGGTATGGTGTTCTGGTGGCTCCGGACAGAAACCCAGAAACCCTCGTAGGGGTTCTGTTAGATTTGGACAGAACACCTCAAATGGGTTTCTGTTGGCTTCGGACCGAACACCTCGTGGGGTGTTCTGTTGGGAGGTCTTATGGTCACGTTCTTTCCGTTACAGCAATAAATGCCCAACGTTCTTATCTTTTAATGCAGCGTTAAATGGACAATTCATGGACGATTCAATGCCCAACGGACTGTTCATTGATATCCAACGTTCAGGTCCATTAATTCACCATTTACACACAACAAATCCTCCTTTATAATGGCTGGCAGGTGGTTTGCATCAACACACGATCTTATACGTTCTTACACACTAGCCCACGTATTTCTTCAGCTAAAAAACACCTCCAGCTACCTCTGAAAATTCCTGAGTGTTCAAACTTGTTCTCGTTTGTTGGAACTCTTCTTTGTGTGCTCAAACATTAGTTCGTAGTCATCATATCCTGGGAAACGATTGTTGCAACGCTCCTAACACCGTGGGAGGCAACAAATACGTTTTAAGGATATCGTGCGTAGCACGAGCTTTGACTAATTCTGCTGCATCTCCTTTCTTGTTTTTCTCTAGTCATTTTATTTAATTAATTTATTTTCATTAATTTTCTTTATTTTCCGAAACACACCTAACAAAACAGACCAGACCAGACCAGACCAGCAAATTTTAGTCTAAAAGAAAACATCCTAAAAGACAACAATATTAAAAGAAATGAATTACGGTGCGAGCATTAATGAATTACATTAGTCAAAGCCAGGTTTCCCTATGAATTACGGTGAACCCGATTCATTATACTTCGTATTAAAAAAAAAGCCAGGTTTCCCTATGTGTGAAGCGACACTGATAAAATCCAGCTCCGTGACACAAGTAATACGGTGCGAGCATTAATGAATTACATTAGTCAAATGAAATGAATAAGAAAAGATATGGAGCGGCCACTGATTGACTTGGCAGCCGGCCAGTACAGATCACCATCGGGACACGTTGCTATCTCTGCCTCTCCAAATCAAACATTCAAATTAAAAGATATACGAAGTACGGAGTATATATACTCCGTATTTGCCGCACATGTTCTGTATGATCGCGCCACCGGCATATCACATCTAATCTCATCTTCCGAATCAAAGATCCTCTCCAGCCCCCCAAAATCGCCCCTTTGATCCATTCATCTTCTGGGAGTATATAACAGCACATCCTTCCCAATTCTGTCACATTCCCAAAATTCACTCTACATAAGTTCATATTCTTTTTGTATACTTCATAAGTTTATCATCAATGGCATACAGCGAGTGTCAAAACTTCCACGTTCTTGCCGTCGACGACAGCATCGTCGACCGGAAACTGATCGAGAGGATCCTGAAGGCTTGCTCCGGTGACAATGTGAAAGTGACGGTGGTGGATTCCGGGGCCATGGCTCTCCGAGTGTTGAATGAGGTGGGAGCGGATCTGATCATCTCCGATTACAGCATGCCCGGAATGACCGGGTACGATCTGTTGAGGGAGATCAAGGGCTGCTCTGCTCTGAAGCATATCTCCGTCGTCATTGTGTCGTCAGAGGATATTCCTGCCCGGATTAATACCTGTCTGTCGGAGGGCGCCGAGGAGTACTGTCTGAAGCCGGTCCGGCTGTCGGACGTCAGGCCGCACCTGCAGAACGCCTGTAAAGGAAGAGCGGTCAGCGGATTGAGTTCTACATCTTGTGGGATATTTTGAATTAACCAGTTTTGTGGATTCTTGCCGGGATTAGTTATTGTGCTCCAGAACAATTTTGCTGTTTCCATTTCGGATTTGTGAAGATATTTTAAATTTTAGAAACTATGATGTATTTAATTGTTTTTTACGATGTATTTTATTTTTCTTATAGGATTTAGATTATTCAATTAAGATATTGATAGTGAATAAATTGCTCAATTAGATTCTCCCATGAAATGATTAGGGATGTTTTCTTTTCGATTGTTTTCGGTCCCAGATCAGATCAGACTAGACTTAAACAGACCAGACCATACCAGACTTAAACTGGCCAGACCAGACCAGACTTAAACAGACCAGATCAGACCAGACCAGACTTAAACAGACCAGACCAGACCAGACTTAAACAGACCAGACCAGACCAGACTTCCGTAGTTATAAAATACACAGAGACCAGACGTTTACCAGACCAGACCAGACCAGACCAGACTTAAACAGACCAGACTTAAACAGACCATACCAGACCGGACCAGCAAATTTCAGTCCAAAAGAAAACATCCTAAACTGAAGGGTTGTTTACAAAAATACGACACTTTAAAAATAGTGATTATGATTAATTTTAGTGAAATAATTTGTGCTATTTTTACACTTAAATAATCATTACGTTATATTATTCTCTCTGTATCACTCTAGTTGTCTCACTTTGTTTTTGAGGATATTAATTAAAGTGCTAATTTTACTGTTCAAGCAACAGTAAAAATAAGAACACGTTGCTTCGAAAATTCACTCGTTTGGTAGCACGAAAATCGGCTGATTTGGCTGTTTTTGCCGAAATTTATGAAGTTCTAGCTGAAGTGGCTGCATTGGCCGATTCTACTGATTTAAGACAAAATTTTTTTTGAAATATATTTTATTAATAAAATAAAGAAAAAATTATATGTAAAAATAGTTGAAATGGTCATCTACAGTAACTTAAGCCAATACAGCCAGAAAAGTAACTTCAACCTTACTTTTTCTGCTTATTACACAATTAAGCGCGCGAAAGCAAAAATTACGTGTTTGGTGAAAAAGTTGGCTGATAAGTCTGATAAGCCGAAAAACAGTAGTTCCAAACGACCTCTTAATATGTGGTTTCATATTTTGTGACACTTTAATAAAATGTTACACTCCCTTCTAAGTGGTCCGAAATGTATGAAATCTTATCTGTTTATTCTTATATAAAAATATCTTCAGGGTAGGGTCCTCCAAAAGTACCCTCATCTTATATCTCAAACTACTCATTATTATTCATCGTTCTGATATTTTGGGTTCTTAAAATATTTGTATTCATTCTGTATTATTTTGTAGCCTTCCGTATTACTATCAATCTGATAATGGGATAAGGGTCAGTTTGGTCCTCGAAGTTGCAAAAAAGGTGTCAAATAAGTCCTTATATAGAAGATTCTGTCCGGACGTGCCATTTGAGGTGGCTCCCGGTAGAATTTTTTGATGAAATTTTTTGAGCATCTTATTCATTAAGTCTAGTTTACTCATACTAAATTTCAGATTAAAATTCAATCGGGAAGACATTCAAATGAATTCTTGAAGATAACTGTGCCGTTAAAAGCGCTGTTATCTTCAAGAATTCATTTGAATGTCTTCCCGATTGAATTTTTAGCTGAAATTTGGTATGAGTAAACTAGACTTAATGAATAAGATGCTCAAAAAAAATTATCACAAAATTCCACCGGGAGCCACCTCAAATGGCACGTCCAGACAGAATCTTCTATATAAGGACTTATTTGACGCCTTTTTTGCAACTTCGAGGACCAAACTGACCCTTTACTCATCTGATAATTAAGGATTCGCAATTATCGGATAGTGACCCGGCCCGCTTGACCATCTAGTTGTCGTTCTTTATATCACCACTATCGTAATAGTATCATTTTGGTAAACATTAATATTTTATAAATAAACTTAGAATATCACGAGTGTTCCCATGTCTAAATTAATAACTCTTTATTAATTTAAGACATAATTTTACTTTCTCATTGATCAAGACTACTCTTAGTCTTGATTTACCTTCTTTAACCTAGTACTTGATGAAAAAAAATCTCACGTTAAAATTCGGGCCCGGTGTTACAATGTGACTCCATAAGAGAGTCACATATGATTTCTTAATTTTTTTTGGAAAAAGTTGACTTTTTCTTGATCGATGATAGTCAATTTTGGACAATGATTCCAGTCACTCACTCTTTATTACGGAGTATTTTGTTTGCTACACTTCTCTTTAAAATACATTTCCCTTACTTTTTATACTTTATGCTATTTATCTCTTGTTTCATAGTTTCCCACTTCTCCAGGCGGAACCAGAAGTTTTCTAAAGCAGGGGCACTGCCGGATAAAGAGAACGGGTCAATTTGGATCGGGTGTACCAACCGTTAGACTAAGGAATTCGTCAATCGTAACGGAGATTGGCATAGAGCTCCATGCAGATGAGAAGCCTTTGTCACATTTCTTGTGACGCAAATTTGAAATATAATACTCCGTAACATAATTTGATAGTCATTTAAGGGTAAAAATTGAGCATGAATATTATAACTAAAATTATTATCATTGTCACTATATTTAGGCTGTATTTTTACAAACTACTTCCTTCGTCCCAAATTGCTTTGTAAAGTCAACATTTTTTTGTCAACCAATAATAAAAGTCAATGCTCCCTATTGATAATTAATTCAATTTTCAATAATTAAAATTTATATATTCAGAAATTACATTAAAATCTCTTCGAAGTTGTAAACTCCAAATTAGAGTATAATTAAACTTTGACATTCTAATTAAACGAATAAAATGAATCGGTTTAATAAAAAAAGTCAAATTTGCAAATAAATTTGGGACGGAGGTAGTGCTATTAATTTTTTTTGAATGAACTACTATTAATTTAGTCATAAGGAAGTACTCCCTCCGTTCCACTGTAAGGTTCCAACACGATTTACGATGTTTGACTTACTATAAAGTTAACTGGTTCCTGTCATTAATAGATTTTTTTTTCTGATCGTATTAATAGAATTATTTTTAGTAAATAAATTTTACATATTTAGAAACTACATTAAAACCGCTACAAAACCTGCAAAAAAAAAATTAAATTCATAAACTTTCGATATATAAAGTAAAAGATTAAACTCCAAATTAGAGTATAATTAAACTTTGACATTCTAATTAAACGAATAAAATGAATCGGTTTAATAAAAAAAGTCAAATTTGCAAATAATTTTGGGACGGAGGTAGTGCTATTATTTTTTTTTGAATGAACTACTATTAATTTAGTCATAAGAAAGTACTCCCTCCGTCCCACTTTAAGGTTCCAACACGATTTACGATGTTTGACTTACTATAAAGTAAACTAGTTCCTGTCATTAATAGATTTTTTTTCTGATCGTATTAATAGAATTATTTTTAGTAAATAAACTTTACATATTTAGAAACTACATTAAAACCGCTACAAAACCTGCAAAAAAAAATTTAAATTCATAAACTTTCGATATATAAAGTAAAAGATTAAGAACAATACACTTTGACCGGAGAATAGTCATCTTAAGATGGAGCTTTGAATCCCTTTAATTAATAGTCATCCTATGGTGTTGCCTTCGGCGAAATTGCTCCAAATTTCCGGCGTAAAGCCGCCGCCTCCGGCGAATTCACTATCAAAATCTAAATATGGCGAGATCCATATATAACCAAAAGCAATACACTTTCATGTTAACAACAAAATATAGAAATAATTTCACAACATTATTGGCAATTACACAAAAAATATATTTATGTGCCAAGCTAAAATAACTTTAGTATAAAAAATTATGGTCCTTCGAGATGCATAAATATGACTTTTTACATTGAAGAAACATGGCATTTTCATTTAAGTTATGACATTTCAGATAAATAATAGTGCCATTTAAATTATGGCATTTCAGATAAATAATAGGAGTCTAACCGAGTTATCGGTTGTCAATTTAATAAAAAACTGCCAAGTATCTTGTGGACTGATGGTATCACTGTGACACTCTCAGAGAAAAGGTCACATATTTGAATCTCATCCCATTCAAAGATGTTGACCTTAACATATAACAAATACTATACGGAGTATTAAGTTAGAAAGATTTACCAAAAAAACTTAGTATTATTTACAAATACAAATACTATACGTAGTACTCCCTCCGTCCCAGGGAGAAGTTCCCACTTTCCTTTTTTGGTAGTCCCAACAAAAAGTTCCCATTTCCCTAAATGGAAAGTTATCCTACATCAAAACAGTGTCAAACAGTGCCAAACAGTGTCGAAACAGTGCCAAACAGTGTCGAAACAGTGCCAAACAGTAACATTTACCCCTCAGTAACTTTATTTCCTAAATATGTGTGAAAGTCAACCCGGGAACTTCTCCCTAGGACGGAGGGAGTATTATTTTTTGAAATACAAAAAAAACTTATTTAAAAGCTAATTTGGTTGTTTTTCAACACTTCAGAAACTCAATTGATCCATTTAGGGGTGTTTGGATTTTATTCTTAAAACTGGATGGGATTAAGCAGAAGTGTTTGGGTGAAAGTGTAGAAATGATTCTGGTGCTCTAATTTACTTCTAAAATCAGTTTTTTTTAGAAATTGTGAGAGACCGGCTTCTGAAAATCGATTCTGATTCTGCTATTGTTTTAAAAAGAAGCAGAAACAACATGATTTCCAAACACTCTCTAAAAGTATGAAGATTCAAATGACTTTATAGCATTAGTACAAAGATTTATTTGACAAATTGACAGTTTTCCAGAAATATTAGTAAACTTGGCAGATGAAAGTGCGTCATTTATTCGTTACTTTAATACTCCCTCCGTCCCAAAATGGTTGGCCAAATTTCCTTTTTTGGCCGTCCCAAAAAGGTTGGCCATTTCCATTTAAAATAAGCAATATGTGGCTAAAGTTAATTCTCTCTCCTCTGCCCAAATTTCAACCACACAGTTTTTACTTTATTAATCCACGTGCAAGTCAACATTGGCCAAGCATTTTGGGACGGAGGGAGTAAAATACAATCACACTTGAAGTACACACTTTTCATACACACACCTACACATTCATGTTTGTGAAGTGTATTTTTTTTGTCTGTATACAGACATAACGCATTTGAAAATATGTTATGTCTGTATATAAACAAAAAAATATTCTTTACAAATATGAGTGTGTAGGTGTGTATGAAAAATGTATAAAATATGAATA